TGTTTTGAAGGCAGTCTTGATGTGATGCCTGTGTAGTATCTTACTGATTTTGTCTATAGTACCTCTTATGTAGGGCAGAACAGCTGTTCCATAGGTCTGTTCATTTTCCAGGTCTCCATTATGCCTCAGTATGTTTTTGTGGATCAGGCCTGTGATTTTGATTTTGTGGAAGCCGTTGGCTGTCAGTACTTTAGTCAGGGTGCATAGTTCAGTCTTTATGTGTGTCTTGTCTGCCAGGCGTTTGGTTCTGGCAATTAGTGTTTTGGCCACGGAGTTTATCTGTGCTGGGTGGTGGTGGGATTGGGCGTTGAGGTAGCGGTTGGTGTGTGTTTTCTTCTGGTATACAGTGTGCCCTAGTGTGCCATCTGTTTTTTTGTAGATTAGTACATGAGATTCTGCTGAAACATTGCTACAACTTTAAAAGCACAACTATAATGACATGGGAAAATACCCAAACAAAGCTGAATACCGTGTGTGTGTGTGTTTTATTAAGTTTTCACAGGTACTTACATGTATGGTATTCAGCTTTTTTTGGGTATTTTGGAATTCTGGACCAATTGCAGTTTCTGGGTGGCTTTCTGGAGCAGTCCCATGTAGAATATGTTGCAGTAGTCCAAACAGGAGGTGACCAAGGTGTCAATGACTGTGGGCAGGTCCTTCTAATTCAGGAACAGGTACTATCCAAAATGGAATGGCCATAGCTCTCACCTCTTCCAGCAGAAGCTGGGAAACTAGGATTCCTCAAATTACATACCACTTCTGAGGTCATGCTTCACAGTCCCCACAAGCCTATAGCCACTAGGTCTCAGTAAGATTGAATTGAAGTTTTCCAATACTGGGAAAAGATCTTGTCAGTATTACTGGTTGTCCTGGAATAGAGATACAGAACTGAGTCACCATCATACTGATGAAACTTCAGCCCATTCCGACATTGCCATGGGTCCAAAAGAAGACCCAATCTGGAGTGTAATCATTGTTCCGAGTCAGACTGTGAACGACTTGGATCATGAACCCTAGAGCTGCCTGCCTCAGACTCCATTCTTAGAAAAGACAGATTAAAATCTTCCGGAACCATAAGTCTGAGGAACTCTATCACCAACCCAAAAATGAGGGTCAGGATAAACAATTACAGTCACTCGTTTAGTGGCTGTTCACAAATATGGTATTTTTTAAATAGATCATTTTCTGACCAATGCATGCATTTACAACCAATTTTTGTGTGTATGACAACAAAAGCTGTCATTTTAAAATCTACTAGAGAAAGCCAGAAGGCAATTAAAGGGGAAGTTTTAAATTTCACTAGTTGACACAGATTGGATAAAATATTCAATATTGGATGTATTGAAGAATATTTGTGAACAATGTACTCAGAAGTTAATTTTTACAATCTCTGCCAAAATGACTGCATGCATAAATAATGGACAAGGCTAAAATAGATTTTAATGAGGATTTTAAAATGACAGGCTACAAGAATGATCTGGAAAACGATGATATACTGGATATACAAATGAAACCAGCTGATGTCTTGATAATTAAATAGAAATTAAATTAGATAACAAATTGGAAGATAACTTGATTGGATTTACAAAGGAGACCTGTTGAAGTTTTAAAAACTGGTGAGAAGGGACACACAAAAAGAATCAAGTTCTAGGGCATTATTTGAAGGAATTAAAGACTGAGGGTTTGAAAAGTAAAGGGAAGGAGTATGAAGTTAGTTTATTTGATCAAGTAGATGTTGTTATTTCTGGTAACCCTTAATGGACTTTTGCTGACCAGGGTTGACAGGGTTTTAAAGATGTGTTTATAGACAAAGTGATGAAACATGGAATGAAGAGGTTGCTGTATTTTAAGAGAAGGTGATAAGTTGTTAAAATTGTGTATACATGTTATGGCAAAGTATACTTTTTTCTTTTCTTTTTTTCTGCACGCTATCACTTTTTAAAATTTCTTTATTTTTTGTAATTTGTATTAGTTTTTATCTGTATAAGTGTAAGGTAAAGGTAAAGATTCCCCTCCCACACACGTGCTACTAGTTTCCAGCTCTAGGGGGCGGTGCTCATCTCTGTTATGAAGCCCTGTCCAAAGAAGTTTCCGTGATCATGTGGCTGGCATGACTAAATGCTGAAGGCACACGGAACGCAGTTACCTTCCCACCAAAGTGGTCCCTATTTTTCTACTTAATTTTTACATGCTTTTGAACTGCTAGGTTGGCAGAAGCTGGGGCAAGTAACGGGAGCTCACTCCGTTACATGGTGCTAGGGATTCGAACTGCCAAACTGCCAACCTTTCTGATCAACAAGCTCACCGTCTTAGCCACTGAGCCACCACATCCTCTCTTGTATAAGTGTAATGCTTAATAATTTTTTTTTAAAAAAAGAGGATAGCCAGGAGGCTATCAGAAAAAAAAACTGTTAAAATGAATATATTCTCTTGATTGGTACATATTTAAAGAGGGATTGTTGTTGTAGGTTGTGAAGTTGTGTCTGATTCATCGCAACCCCATGGACAACGTTCCCCCAAGACTTCCTGTCCTCTACTATCTCCCAGAGACCATTTAAGCTCACGCCAATTGCTTCAGTGATTCCATCCAGCCATCTCATTCTCTGTCGTCCCCTTCTTCTATTGCCCTCAATCGATCCCAGCATTAGGCTCTTCTCCAGTGAGTCCTTCCTTCTCATTAGTTGGCCAAAGTATTAAGTTTCATCTTCAGAATCTGGCTTTCTAAAGAGAAGTCAGGGTTGATCTCCTCTAGAACTGACTGGTTTGATCGCCTTGCAGTCCAAAGGACTCATAGGTGTCTTATCAGCAAGAGGGATAATTATGGTAATTCCACTTACATTTTACATAAATGACTATTACTTTTATATGGAGTTCTTGGCACTCAAGTTTTTTTAAAAAAAATAAAATTGCCTGAGTTTTAAATTTTCCTGATTTTCAATTATATGTTGGGCATATATGTCAACTTATGGCCATTCATTTAATGATGGCTCGAAAGTACAACAGTCCAGGAAAATGTGACTTACAACTTGTTCTTGAAATTACAACTATTGCACCAACTCCATGGTCACATGATTACAATTGGAGCACTTGGCAAGTGGCAATGTATTTATGATGATTACAGCATCTTTAGGCCATATGATTGTGATTTGTGATCTTTCTTTTTGGTTTCTTCTAGAAACAAAAGTCAGTTGCCGTCTTCGCTTAATGACCACATGATTCACTTAACTAGTGATTTGCTTAATGACTGTGGTAAAAATGGTCACAGAATCAAGTCCAATGACATGATGACTATTAATGACTGTATCACTTAGCAGCCAAAATTCCAGTCCTATTTGTGCTTGTAAGTCAAGGACTACCTGAATTTATTGACCTTTGTTTTTCATTGGAATATAAATACTATTTTCCAATTATGAATTATTGTTTTACTCTTTTGAAATCTTAGAACCTTTTTTCCCCTAATTTTTCAGGAATGAACAACCAGTCCCACACCTGTACTGTTGAATTCAAACTAGCTTTATTGTTCCATGCCCAATTCATAGGAATCTCTCCAGACTGCCATCTTTTTCAGGGAAAGACAATATAAGGCTTAGAGGCATCGGGGTGGTGGTAGTGGGTGGAATGGAAGGTCAGAACTTGACCCCTTGTGTTGATGTAATGACCCCAAACTAATTCCCTGCTGGAGCCCTCCTCCCAACTGGGACAGTTGCTCTCCAACAAATTATAGCCAAAAATGTTTTGTATTTCCAGAATTGAAGGCAGTTAGATACATTTGGATAAAATTGGGAAAGGAGTTTGCGATTTCATGAGAATTTGTTTAATTGTTAATGATACTTCAAAAACCATTGAGAGTCACGAGAAGAATATAGCCTGCCTAAACCCATTAAATGTCAGTATATCCAGAAAACTCCATATGGATGACTAAGAATCTTCATCAACATATTCATATGAACATTTGCTATTTCTCATTTTGTATCAGATGTATTGCAACTTCAGATATTCCTATGATATATAGTTTTCTTAAAACTAAGCTGACAAATCAGTTTTGTTAGCAATTAAAGATTTTTATTAAAATAAATATTTAATAATTCACAAGAAGTTTGGAATGGAGAATTGATGCTGTTCACTAAGTCTATTGCTCTCTGGATTTAAAAAGTTTGGAAATACACCAGTGTACCAGAAAGCAAAAGCTGGCTTGGCAAAAGTGTGTGAATTTTCAGCCTGAATTGGCTATCCACCAACATACAGACAATATGAATAATATGATTTTGTATGGCCAAGGTTCAATTTATTATTTTAAAAACTGAGTTGTATACATACTGTGTGTCTGTTTGTGTGTGTGCACTTTTTATTTAGTTATTTTTCTCATATGTTCCATTTAGGTTTTTTTTTTTTGTTCTATTAAAGTAATAAAATAAAAAGTTAATATAACATGTTTCTCTTTTTTCCAGAAGTAACATGTAAAAACTACTAAATGTTATAGAAGATGAAGTTATTGCATGCCACAATTGTATATGCATAGTAACATCTTTTATATTCTGTCTTAAAATTATTACAAGTAGCAGATTGATTTGCTCATTATCAAGCCCACCAAAAGGTTTTGAGGGATGTGAACGTTTATATAATACTTTCCCTCTCTTGTGCTATTATATTTTTTAGTCATATTTGTTCTTCAGTTTTTTTCTCTTTAAGGTATATGGGTTGTTCAGCATGTTCCACTTCTGTTAGCTGGGCATTTAGAATGTTATTTTCTTTTCCGGGACATAGGCTATTTAAGCCACCATTAATTTAACCTCAAATCAGTGACCTAGCTATGTTGCTGAAATAGTACAATTATTACAAATTGATGACTAAATAAGTAATTCTCTGCCCAAAACGTTAAGAATCTAAATCACCAATTGTCCTTATTTTTCCAAAAATATGCTATTAGTTATGCTACTGTCTTCTAAATCACAAATTTGTTTTATGCAATAATTTTAAAATTCTTTTTTTTTATTCTGCAGACGTTCCATCTTCAGATCAACCTGAATTGTTTCTAAAGAAACTTCAGCAGTGCTGTGTAATTTTTGACTTCATGGACACACTATCAGATCTTAAAATGAAAGAATACAAACGTTCAACTCTTAATGAACTTGTGGATTACATTACAATAAGCAGAGGGTGTTTGACTGAGCAGACTTACCCTGAAGTAGTTAGAATGGTAAGTTATTTTTTTAGAAAATCAAATGCTTTATAGATAGCATTATTTGGTAAGCAGGTTTATTAAAAATATTACATCTCTGTTAGTATTCCACATTAGTCTTTTCAAATGCAAAACAGGAAAGGCCATTTTCACTTTAGTCATTTAAATTGCAGTTGTTCTTAATTTCGGATAAATAATGTGCCAAGTAGAAGAAGTGGGGGAATATAAAGGCATATTTTATTCTTAGCTTATTTATATCCAGGGCTTTTATGTTAATTTGCTATATTTCAGAAAAAATGCTTTATTTAAACACTGTGTAATATTTTGATTATTTTAGGAAAAAAATAATGTTCATCTGTGAGGTTAAGAAATTTTCTGTGCCGGCTATAATTATAAATCAGCGTGTGATTTTGATTGCATCTTGTAGTGAGATTCCATTAGACTGATCTTCAGGTAACTAAGAATAATCTTGATTGCTGTACAGTAGTTAACAATTTGGGGTCTGAAATCATTTCTGGATACTTAAGGGGCTACTGACTGGAAGTGCTTTAATAAAGCCATTGCTTTATACCAGTTTTAGCTCGTGCAAAAGCTATTCATTTCTCCAGCATGCCTTTGGGATAATCCACACATATGGGTTGAATCTACCTTTCTGCCGAGAGACTGAGTCAATCTTTGCCACATCTCTTCCTGTCGGGGCAGGAAGCTCCCTAACCCCAGTCATGACTTAGTCTTGGCCCTATGGAGACATGGCAAAGGTTGGCTCCAACAATTTCTGCAAAAAGCAGCAGTTTAAAGTGTGGATTCTCCCAAAGGTTTGCAAAAACTCCCTCAAAGTATCCAAATCATCATAAATAGGCAGCAATTGGAACTTCTGCCTGCTCCATTTTTTGCAGCCCCCCTGACTTAACAATTGAAGGACTAATAGCCCAGGCAGTCAAGGGGGAGCCCTAAAATGGTCCCCCACCCCTGGGGGTGTGTGCTGAAGCTGCTATTGCCCCCAGCACGTCATGGAGCTCCTAGGCTTACCCAGGTATCTCCAGAGCAGCCGCTTTCATTTTCAAGGTCTCAGCTAGATTTTGGGGGCAGGCGGCTACCATTTTGGCCTCATGGTGAGTTGTACAGGCTATCCAGGAGACTGGTAGGGCCACCACTGCCACAGCCTAGGGAATGTTTCCAGGCCTGGAATGCCCCTTGGAGCAGCAGGATTGGAGAATTGAGAGAGCTCTCCTCTCTGCAACCTGGACATTAGCAGCATGGCTGACCAAGGCAGCAGGGAGCCCACGAGTGCAAAACAATCCAAGCAGAGTCCCAGAAAGGGCAGATCTGCAAGTAAGGATGCTGCTAAGAAGATAAAGGCGAAGGCTCTTTATTCCAGAAAGCCCACAAGAGCAGAAGAAAGGAGGCAAAGAGCACTGGAAAAGCAGTTCTCCAGAGCTCAGAAACAAGCTGACCAGGAGAGGTATACGCCCTCCCCACAGGGGCCTGTTAGCCCCCTCTCCCAGCAGCCTTTAGCACAGGAGTTGCCTGCAGTTCTAGTGGCTTGGTCACCAGAGGGAGATAGGGAGCAGGAATTTATCCCTTCTGCTGAGGAAATCCAAACTCAGAGATTTCCTTTTGATTGCATGCTTCCTCGTCCTGCAGATTTGCAGGTCAGAGACAGGACTGGAACACCCGAGGCTACTTTTACTCCAACGGCAGCAGGGATGTGCTCAGTAGATAGCATGGACCTGAATTATCAGAAGATCTTAAGGCCCTTATTGCTCAGGCCATTTCTTATGGGGTAGCCTCCTCCCTGAGGGGGAGGAGCCAGTGTTCTTCCCCAAGATCTGATCTTCAGCCATTGCAGCCAGTGTAATACCAGGCCTCCATGGGTTTTTCCAGGCACCAGAAAGAGGCTTCTACAGCCCACTCCATCAGAAGCAGAGCATCTGGGAGGGAGGAGGACATTCAGGGGGAGCAGAGGTTCTCATCAGATGAGGACCTATCACCTGATCCACCCCATTCTCAGGTCTGTTTAGTCCGGGACTATTAAAATCCCTCCTCCACAAGACTAGGACCACTGTCCAAATTGATCCTCCGCCCACTATACCAACTGCTTCACCTGATACTTAGGGACCCAACACCAGGGTTTTTTCTGAACCTACAATTCTCCAACAGGAGATTCCTTGTTCCAAGTTATTTTTAGACATAGTTCAGAGACAATGGGCACAGCCTGGATCCTTCCCCACTCCAGGGGGCAGTGATAATTTTTTTTTCCAATATGGCTCCTCTCCTCTCCGAGTCACTTCAACTTTCCCCTTTGGATGAACCTTTGGCCTCTCCCTCTGCAATATCAGGTGACATAGCAGAGGCCCTTAAGACAGGACAAAAAGGTGGAACACCAGGCCAACTCATGGATGGTTAAAGCAGCTTCAGCCATGTCCTTTTTCACTAGGACATCCCTTCTCTGGCTTTGCCAGTTACAGTCTAGGATTCCCCCTGAGGAAATCAGAATGCATCAGGACATCAACAAACTGATGGCAGCCACTGAATTTGCGACCGACTCCTCCCTGCATGCAGCCCGATTCTCCTCTAGGGCCCTGGCCTCCAACATCACTTCTTGTCGTCTGCTGTGGCTACGACAGTGGCAAGCAGATGCTAGAACCAAATGGAAAGTGGCCTCTGCCCCCTCCATGGGTTCTTCCCTATTTGGAGAGGCCTTAAATCCTTCATAGTCAAGAATAAAGGTAAGAGTAAAGTATTCTCTCTTACCAGGAGGGCCGATAGGAGGGCTTCTCCCTACATCTGTAGACAGCCATTTCGTTCCTCAGACTCAGGCCAGGAATTCTCGCAATTCCAAAGATCCTACCAGCCCAGATCAGATTGACCTGCAGATAGATCAGGATTTTGAGATAGAAACAACAGTTTCAATCTAAATGGCCCTTTCGTGGCACAGGAGATTGTTCCTACCATCGATCCAAATGACTGCCAGACCATTCTTCCCATCCGTGGCTGTCTGGCCCTATTTGCAGACTGATGGGAGACAATCACATCTGATTCCTAGGTCCTGAAAACAGTGCGATTCGGTCTCACCCTGGATTTTCTGTCCACTCCTCCAAGGACCTTTACCCATTGCCCAGCCTCCAAGAACCACGTAAGGAGAAAGCTCATGGACACGGCGGTCCAGCATTTGCTGGACGACCAGGCCATCGAGCTGGGACCAGAGTGGGCACAGGTTTTACTCCATTCTATTTGTAGTTCCCAAGTCCTCGGGGGGGTGGGGGGTGGAGAGTGATCCTGGATCTCAAAAAGCTCAATGCTCATTTAGATTACAAGAGATTCAAAATGCAATCTCTGCAGTCCATTTTGGAGAACATAAGGTAGGGGCGATCTAATGTCTACGATCTGACAGAGGCTTACCTCCACATCCCTATCTACTCCTCCTATCGGAGGTTTCTCAGATTCTATTATACGGGGGGCCATTATCAATACAAGGCCCTGCTATTCGGACTATCCTTGGCCCCCAGGATCTTCACAAAAGTGCTGGCAGCACTGACCATGCACCTCAGAACAATTTCAGTCCACATCCAGTGCTATCTGTATGACATCCTAATGCAGTCCAGCTCCAACCAACAACTCAAATCAGACCTGACTTAGACAAGATGGATTTTCAATCAATTTCCAGAAAAGCCAGCTGATACCTTCCACTCGCCTCCTTCTTCTGGGTGTGGTGATAGACACAAATCTATGCGAAGTATATTTATCCTAGGAGCGCCAGGACGGCATCAAGTTCTTGATGGCACAGGTCACAGTGGAGCAAGTAGCTCCCTTGGTGGTGCTTTCCCAGCTTCTGGGAAAATTAATCTTGTGCATAGCCATAGTACCATGGGCCTGATTGCACGGCAGGCCTCTCCAATGGTTCCTCCTACTGTTTCAGAGGGCAAACACCAGCACTTCCAACATCAGGGTCCGACTCCAGTTGGATGTCCTCAGATCCCTCAGGTGGTGGGTTTCCCCAGCAATCACCAAGGGGTCCCTATTCAAAGAACCCAATAGCATCACAGTCACTTCAGATGCGAGTCTGTTGGGATGGGGGGCCCTTCTACAATCCCAGCTTGCTCAGGGTCAATGGTCCACAGCGGACCTTTAACAAAACATAAACTGGTTAGAACTGAGAGCCATTCACTTAGCTCTCAAAAACTTCCAAAGCACAGTGACCTGCCAACACGTACTGATCCTAATGGACAACGTGGCGGCCAAAGCACACATCAATTGCCAGGAAGGGACCCATTCCAGATCCCTCATGTCCGAAACGCAGCAACTGGGAACCTGGGCGGAGGCTTACCTATTGTCAATCAAGGCAAAGCACATATTGAGGATAGCAAATGTCCAGGCAGATTACCTAAGCAGGACCAGGGTGGACAACTCCAAGTGGCGTCTCCATCCAGATCTGTTCCAGGACATAGCTCAGAGATTCGGGAGGCCAGTACTCAACCTCTTTGCAACTCCAACGAATACCCAGCTTCCCAGATTTTACTCCAGATCCCCATCGCCAGGTGCAGAAGGGGTAAACACCCTTCGCAGCCGCTGGCCCAAGAGTCTCCTTTACGCCTTCCCTCCTCTTCCCTTCATACCAGGGCTGATAAGGAAAGTACTTTTAGAGCAGGCAGAAATCATTCTGATCGCTCCTCACTGGCAGTCGTGGTATGCGGATCGAGTGAGCCTGTGAGTGTTCCGCCCTTGGAGGATCCCTCAGGGCAGGATATCTTTCAGCTAGGGGGTCTTGGAACACCCGGAGCCTCAGTGGCTATAATTGACCGCCTGGCACTTGAGAGGAAGATCCTGAGGAGGGATAACTTTTCCAGAAATGTCACTAAAACAATACAAGCCTCCAGGAGGCCTTCTACAAACAGAATATATGACACTACCGGGAAAGCATTCCATCAATGTTGCACCAAGAAGGGCACAGACCTGACTGTGGCCTCAGTGCCACAGATCCTGGACTTTCTACAAACCAGGACTCGACAAAGGGTTTT